TCGAACCCAGGCCCTGGGTTCCTTCGAACTTCGAACCCAGGCCCTGGGTTCCTTCAAACCCAGTAGGGAGGGGAAGGAGAAAAGGAAAGAGAAGGAGCAAAAAAAAAAAGGAAAGGAAAGAAAAAAGAAAAAAAAGAAATTTTTATTTATTAAATTATATTTTTGGTGCCAAGTCACAATACTTTGAAGTTCGAGGTAAATTTAGTTTAAAAATGAAAGTTAAGGGACTGAATCGAGGATTTAACTTTTTTTTTTTTAAACCTTTAATCAGCAGTGGGGCCCACAAAAAAATTGGCAGCAAGTAGACTTCCCGCTCGTGGGGTTCCAAGTTGGCATGCTAGGTTGTTAAAAAATTCTAAGTTGGCGTTGACATGCGCATACTTGACAGAAGCCAACGGTGCACGTGCTACACGTGACGTTCCGGTGTTAAATTTTGCCTCATTTCCTTAACTCGAAAACGTTGAGGGTAAAAATTCATATATTGTAATGTGGAGGGTAAAAACCCTAAAAGTCGAAAAGTTAAGGGGCAAACGGGTACCTTTTGCTGTGTCCTTCTCTCCCAGAAGCAGCCCACTGCAGTTTGAGTCCGTTGGGAGTAGGGATGTCAACGGGGCCCCGCGGGGTCGGGGAGTGCCTCCCCATCCCCATCCCCGCGAATGGCGGGGACGGGGATCCCCGCGGGGATTTTTGACGGGGGCAGATTTTGCCCCCCGTCCCCGTTCCCTGCGGGGATCCCCATTCCCCACCAATTAATAACAAAGTATATATTTTTTACATCAAACATAAATAAAAATTAATTTAATACAAATAATTAAATCAACAAAATTGTTCCAAATAGAGATTAATCCAACATAAAGCAACATGTTCCAAACATAAGTTGTTCCAAATATACATAGAAATTAATCCAACATAAAGCACTATACTTGTTCCAAATATAAGCAAAAATCAACCCAACATAAATAAAATAACTAAACTAAACCACCATTCCGCATGAAGGGAAGTAGCCAAAAATCAACTCAAAACACTTTAGCTCTCAAAATCCACAATTGCTCATAAAAAGACTTGGGCTTGCCATAAAATTACCACTTGATTCATTAGGAATTTGAATTGGTGGTGGAGCTTGAAATGATCCCTCAGCACTCTGCTCTTGTGTGTTAGACATTTATCACCTAAAAATAAATTTTAAAAAAACAATTATGCCTTTCCATTGAAATATAAAATAAATTTTCATACCAAATAAGTCATTATAAAATAAACTTTAAACTTTTCTATATTATATGTATATCAATATGACAGTATATGACTATGTAAAAAAATTAACTAAGCAATTCACACTATAAGCAGCCATTAAATCTAGTAAATTCTAGGAAATACAAACTTTCTCTATGTTAATTCAACCATAATCA